ATATATATATACACACATGCATATAGAGATGTGTGATATCGCACGAGGGGAGCTGACCTCGCAGCTTCCGTGCTGAAGAAGAAGGGTCATTACAGTATAATATCAAAAAGGACTTAGAAAAGCGCAGGTGTGACGTACGCCACCTCCGACGTGACCATCAAGACCCACTGCGAGGATGAGCTGTAAGGCTGTGAAGATGACTTTCTCCACATGTTGCAACTACAAACAGATCGATCTCACAGAGTTTTCGCATCTTTTCGCAGCCAGCCTCTTGCAGAGAGCCAGCGCACGCGCTCCATCCAGTTGAGAAAAATGTCAGCGTGTTGGCCCGGCATGCCCCTAAGATATGCGATGCAGCAGGCTCCTCTGCAGTGGACAGCCAAACACTCACCAATCACTCACGGCCGCCGAGGTACAAGGCGAACATGGACGACAGACCTTTCGCATACAAGAGGAGGTGACGGCGGGGGGGGGGGGTCCGAATTTGCTACGGAACTTTGCGACATTTAACGCAACGCGGAATTATACAGACAGAGATCCAGGCGCGAGGGAGTGAGCTCTGGACTCGGCCCTCGCTCGGTGTTCACCGTTGCAACACCCTACTGGAGCCGTGATTGCTGTGATTGGAGAGGCCGTCACGTCCGCTTTTCAAGTTCTCATGGCCATGTCCAACAAGGCCTGCGTTTGACAGCAGAGCGGGTTAGGGCCATCAGGGTTCTTCAGAGAATGTTAAGTTTCCAAAGTCCCCCAGCATTCCATAGAAGTCAGAGGCCCAAGGCGCAACGTAGTAGCACATCATCGAATTTCGAGTGATCATTTCACGCTCTCTAGTAGTCTCCCCTGCAGGAAAGCTGAAAAATCTTTGAGCCTTGTCAGGTGGCTGTTGTCAGCGCAGTGAGAATGAACGCAAAAAGCGGCAGGACTTGGCCCTCTCCAGTGAGGCCAAAGAAAGCCACCTCCCAAGAGCTGCAGGTGTGATAGGTAGATTGCTTCTTGGATGTCTGGGGAATCGTGTGAGTCCTATCGCCATAGCTGACATCTTTCACCATGCAGTTATTCTTGAGTACGGTTTGTTGGATCTGACATGGACGCACAAGGCCAATCAAAACATGTTCACGAATCCAGGCCTTCGGAGATTGGTTTGCACCTTCTTATCTCTGCCGCACGGCATCTTGGTCGCAGACTGTTGAGCAGAGAGCGTTGGCCTTGGCAAAGCTGTTCAGATGATTTGTCAGTATACGCTACCAATGGAGGTACGTCTGTGTGTAGACTGCAATGTGCTTGCCAGGTGCGGATTTTACCGTGCGCCTTCATTTACTGGCGAACGCAATCTTGCCCGGCCCATAGCTTCAGAAGGACTTGCAGTGCAGCCAACGCAACGAAGCCAAACGGCTTCTTCATCGCTTCCTTTGGCGACACCGGCCCGGCTTGCACCGAGCCAGTAGTTGATCGACAGCGGAACCTTGAGCGCTGTTTGCAACTTTGCGCGAAGTGTTTCTTCATAGCTCTTTTGTTGTTGAGGCTAGCGCTCCAACCACCGGAGCTAAGGTTGCAGAGGCCTGGCTCACACGTGTATCCGCTTCTACAGTACATCTCGTTTGCAACGTATGTACGTAAGCATTGTGATTGTCTAGGTCGGTCAATCGGTCCGGCGAGTGGGCGGGCGGGCTGGCGGGCGGTCCATCCATCCGTCCATCTACCCAGCCATCCAGCTGTTACTACATCCCTCTGTGCATCAATGCATCCATGCATGCATGCGCATGCAGGTCCGTATGTGTACATGCATGCACCATGTACACGGACGTGTACGTGCATACACACGGTGAGTACAGTGCGCAGATTAATTCGCATGTTTGCATGTACCTTTCTCCATCTCTCGCTCTCTCTCTCTCTCGCTCCCTCGCTCCCCCCCCTCTCCCTCTCCCTCTCCCTCTCCCTCTCCCTCTCCCGCTCTCCCTCTCCCTCTCC